GTTTTTGGAGACAGAGTCTCACTCTTGTCACTCAGGCTGGAGTGCAGTGGCATGATCTTGGCTCACTGCAACCTCCACTTCCCAGGTTCAAGCGATTCTTGTGCCTCAGCTTCCTGAGTAGCTGGGATTACACACATGTGCCACACACCGGGATAATTTTTTGTATTTTTAGTAGAGACGAGGTCTCACTATGTTTGCCAGGCTGGTCTCGAACTCCTGAGCTCAAGTGACCCCCCCCGCCTCCGCCTCCCAAAGTGCTGGAATTACAGATGTGAGCCACTATGCCCGGCCTTTAAACCTTTTATATTGTAAAGAATAACAGATACAGAAAAGTGAGCACACAGATATGTAACTCAACGGTTTACCAGGAATCAAACAGCCATGTAACCAGCACCCAGGTCATGAAAAAGAACATCTCCAGCAGCCCAGAATTCCCCTGCCAACCAGTAAGGCCTTTCTCTTCCACCTAAGTAATCATTAACCTGACTTTTAGGAGAATCATGCCCTTTTTTTTTTAATAGCTTTTCCACCTACACATGCATCCCTGAACATTAGTGGCTTAGTTTCACTGTTTTTTTTTTTTAATTTGAGACACGGTCTTGCTCTGTTGCCCAGGCATGAACCAATATGCCCTGACTTAGTTTTGCTGTTTTTTGAACTTTTACATATATGTAATCAAGATCTATTATTCTGTGTCTGGCTTCTTTCACTCAACATTATATTGCTGAGATCCACCCATTCCTATGCAAGAAACTATTCATACATTTTATTGCCGTATAATATTTTATTGTTTGAACAAACATGGCTACTCAACAAGGTCTGATCTGAGACCATATTTTAAAAGTACATAACATCAGGCACAATACCAATTAGGTGGCTTGTTGAGGATGACCAAGATAGTAAAGATCTAGTTGCTTACACTAGAAAGAGAAGGCTTGGGGCAAAGAAGAAAAGAAGTCACAGCTATCTTACAATTTTTAAAGAGCTATTATGTAGAAGAGGAATTGAAACTATTCTCTGCACTTTTAGAGGGCAGAATTAGAACCAATAGGGAGATAGCATAAATAGGTATATTTCGGCCATCTTGTTTACTATATTCTTGTCCTTACCATCCCATAAAGTTGGAGATAACTCTGGTCAGATAGGCATGCTGTAGCAGCCCTAAATATAGATAAACTAAAACGATCTGCATGACTAGCTGCCTGAGCCAAAGTTTCCAAACACAATAAAACGATACTAGAAATAATCCTTAGCATTCTCTGCATGCTTTCCTTCAAGAGAAACTTTTCAGTTGGAGCAAGCAGAGGCAAATCGGTAGGCTAGGAACTGTAGTAGATACTGACTAGTGTCAAGAGAACTAAAAATGTGGAGACCTCTGAATTGAAAAATTAGGATGCCATTTGAGTTTCACACTAATCTCAAAAATCATTCCCTATACCAGATCATGTTGTGAATATTTCTAACAAAAAGGTGACCTTGAATATATAAAGTCTGAGGAAAAAAGAGCAGAAATTTCTTAGAGCTTGCGTGTGTGTGCACACGTATGTGCGCATGTGCATGCTTTTTGCCTTAGGGAGTTATAAAGTTCAAACCAGATAAAGTAAATATAAACACTTTATAAACTCTTAGGTGCATTAAACTGGAAGATTAACTTAAAGAAAAAACAAAGTTTCAAAGAACTCTCAGAAGAATCAGCCTAAAGTTCGAAACCAGGGTTTAGGCTGAATGATTTTTCAGAAATGAAGTTCCTCAAAATTTCCTAATGAAATTCTTGGACAGAATTAAAGACATAAGAAGAATCCACCTCCAGAGAGGGAGTTAATTTTATGCATAATGAATAAACGCTAAAGGGTATACCATTATACTGAGAGCCTCAGGTCAAAATTTTGCTAAGAAAATAGCCTCTTCTAGTCTACCACCTCTTTAAATACACTGGAAGAGGTTTTCCTTTTATAGGCCCATCAAAGCACTAAATGGGTTGCCTGAGTGGTAATTGCAGAAATGGCTGATAACCAAAGTGGGTTTTGCTAACATTTCTTCCCCTAATCTAAGTGTACTGAAGAAAAAGGTATGGAACCTAGTGTTAATAGTGAATGGTAGGATAAAAAAGCTCTCCTAGAGCTTTCAAATTCATGTTAAGATTTGGTGGTGAATGACCGGGCGCTGTGGCTCACGCCTGTAATCCCAGCACTTTGGGAGGCCGAGGAGGGCGGATCACGAGGTCAGGAGATCGAGACCATACTGGCTAAAACGGTGAAACCCCGTGTCTACTAAAAATACAAAAAAAATTAGCCGGGTGTGGTGGCGGGCGCCTGTAGTCCCAGCTACTCCGATGGCTGAGGCAGGAGAACGGAGTGAATGTGGGTGGCGGAGCTTGCAGTGAGCGGAGATCGCGCCACTGCACTCCAGCCTGGGTGATAGAGCGAGTCTAAAAA